CTCGTGTGACGTAGCCTAATTTCCAATGTGTTTGGGCGACTTCGGCGAATACACACGGTCTCCAGTGATTTAGACGAGTTTCTATTGTGCCCTTAGACTTTGCAGAATGTCCAGTGCGTACTAGATGCGAACTAGTTAAACTTCCAGATTATTACAGTGTCTCAATACACATTTCGAGTATATTTCCATATTCTTGTCCGCATTCCGAGAGTTCCAGTGCCCATGCCAGATGCCAGAGACTTAGTCGAAATTCGAGAGCAAGAAGAGCCCTAGCAGTGTTGGAATGTCCTGTATGCGAAAACATTAGGGCTGACGACACTCTCTTATACTGAATTATAGGGTACGATTTTACTCATGTCAAGGTCCTGAGAGTAACATGAACGTCAAACTCAATTTCACGGAGCGGGAAGTGACAAAACCACACTGAACAACAGGTCGATCAAGGGAAAAACTCTATGAATTCCAGGGGCCTGGCTCCGATTCTTCCAGGAATTAATTCTGACAGCCCTACACGTATGCACCAATCACGCTGCTTCGTGCAACAAACGTGTTAGGCTGTCAGATGGGAACCCTAAACAGTTGGAGGATTTCATCCTGTCTTCACCGTTAGATTTCATCTAACGGGCATCCACTACTGCGCCCAGAAGATGGGAGAGTGCTTGTGTGGAGTGGACGGACCTCTGCGCGCCGTAACATTATTAGGGATGGCGCGTGCCCAAATCGGGGAAAAAGGACACATTCACAACAGCCACCAAGTTACCGGTGAGAGTCTGACGCGTGGAATCGCTAGCCCCAAGAAGGTGTTCCACCTCGTCGTTCCGATGTTTTGATTGGCTCTCCCCCTGTTAAGGGGGATGTATCTGTGATGTCAGCAGATGGGGAACCAGACACCATTGCCAAAGAGCCCCGACAAGTGGGGCCCTCTGGCGAATGTCGTCCATGCGATTGAGACATCTTCCAGGTTCAGGTAGGTTAGGGTACGAGTAGCGAAAATTAACGAATGTGGCAACAACTTGCAAAGCAACTCGTGACCCATAGTAGCGTGGCTCCAAAGCACAGATTCAGAAGTGGTGCTGCTTCCTCATAATTTCCCCAGTGGCACTCGCAACTCGAAGTCAGGAACATTCAGCCATGGCTCTTCCAAGCTTAGATAGTAAACTAGCCTTTCAGCCGATCTCCATGCCCTTTCCCTACGGCGGAGGCTGGCTCGACATAACCCTAGACCACGCCAATAGGCTGCGACCCGGTGAATGGGTCAGCGGAATCGTGATTGATTGGCTCGGTGTGTGAGTATCACGAATATAGACTCATTACACAGTGACGACACGGTTCTCTCATGCTTTTATTTTGGCGTTAATCTGCGCACTCGCAGGATGCTGCAGTACGAACACGGTCGCAACCGCACAAAGTGGCTTTACGCTGGATCCTATTTCTGGGACTACGCTCGGAAGGACACACCGAGGCCTGACAACGCCTACACTTTCGGATTGGGAATATTCGAATTCACACATGTTCTAGTTCCGATTAATACCGAGTAAGTTCTCGCCGCGTCGTGCCGTTGCACCAGAAATAATTCGCAATGATAATGTCCTTTTTAATGATGCTAGTCCTCGTTTGCGCATTAGGAGTCATTGGAGCTTGATCGTCATCGAGAGAATCCCGAGACCCGACGACACGATTCCCATGAACTGCGTGCTATGGCACGCTGACTCGAACGGTACCCATGACGGTGTTGACGCTCCGTTGCGCAGGTATTCGCTCTCAAATGGCAGTATGCTGTTGTCTCGTAACTCAAAACGGGGTAACTAAATAATTGAAGAACCATCATCCGATATGCAGGTATTTACGAAACGAGGTCGTAAAATGCTGTTCGTGGATCATTGATTCGGACGCTGATGCATGGGCTGCGAGCATCCCGCTACGGCACGTCCAGGTGAGCGAAATCGCCTTGTTTATACGAGCTCCGAGCCCATGCATCTCTTTTTCTCGCAACGCGATGTCCTCCACCAACCCCCAATTTCGGACGGGCCTTACACTGCCATAATTGACCCTGTGTGTCTTCAGATTCCAATGCAGGACAATGAGAACGACTGTGGTGTGTTCGCGATGCGTGTGATGCACACATTGGTCGAGGATGGTTTCCGTAACCTCCCTACGTGTGAGCTTGTCGGTACGCCACTCAAATGGCGCCGTCAGTACCGTCGCGATTTGAGGAAGTGGTCTGTGTTTTTTCGGGGAAAGACGATGGTGGAGGTTAGAGGTGGGGCATGAGGCGGGTCTAAGCTGGTAATGGGGCGGGGAGCTTGGTGGAACGCGACTGGAATGAGAATGACAGGGTGAGCGAAGGGGGATGAGGCTGATAGCAAAGGGGGAGTGAGGCAGGTATGAAGTGGGGATTAAGATGGGTAGCAAGGGAGATTGAGGCGGGTAGCAAGGGGGAATGGGGCGGGTAGCAAGGGGGAATGAGGCAGGTAGGAAGGGGGAATGAGGCGGGAAGCATGGGGGAATGAGGCGGGAAGCATGGGGGAATGAGGCGGGAAGCATGGGGGAATGAGGCAGGTAGCAAGGGGGAATGAGGCGGGTAGCAAGGGGGGATGGGGCGGGTAGCAAGGGGGAATGAGGCGGGTAGCAAGGGGGAATGAGGTGGTTAGCAAGGGAGAATGGGGCGGGTATGAAGTGGGGATTGAGGCGGGTAGCAAGGGAGATTGAGGCGGGTAGCAAGGGGGAATGGGGCGGGAAGCATGGGGGAATGAGGCAGGTAGCAAGGGGGAATGAGGCGGGTAGCAAGGGGGAATGGGGCGGGTAGCATGGGGGAATGAGGCGGGTAGCATGTGAGAATGAGGTGGTTAGCAAGGGAGAATGGGGCGGGTATGAAGTGGGGATTGAGGCGGGTAGGAAGGGAGATTGAGGCGGGTATCATGGGGGAATGAGGCAGGTAGCAATCGGGAATGAGTTTGGTAGCATGGGGGAATGAGGCAGGTAGCAAGGGGGAACGAGGCAAGTAGCAAGGGGGAATGAGCAGGGTAGCAAGGGGGCATGAGGTGGATAGCAAGGGGGAATGAGGCAGGTAGCAAGGGGGAACGAGGCAGGTAGCAAGGGGGAATGAGGCTGGTAGCAAGGGGGAATGAGGCATAGGCAGGTAGCAGGGAGCAGGAGGGGATGAGGCGGGTAGCAGGTATCAGCATAGGGTGAACTTATTGGGCCTATGTTGTCAAACAAGACCTATAAGGAGGATCTGTTTGTCCCACCGTCCAGTCCATCGTGACAAGCCAACAAGCAAGTCACAGAACGCGTGGGTGAGGCTTCGAAACAGTCCCCATCACTCACGTGACCAAACAGCAAGTGTTTGTCACCTCCTGTCAAGCATGAAATAAGAACATACAACACATCAAGCAATTTATTTATGCACTATAGCTGCCCTACAGGACAACAGTGCAGACACGCCCCATGATGGGAGTTTGTGTTGGAAACAATCGGTCCTAAGCGCCTGTGTCGTGTCGAAACACCAAGACACAAACGAAGCAAAACACTACGGTATCGAAGCACCAGCGAGTCAACCCTCGGAGGTTGAAGTAACTGTCGGAGGTTACGCGAAGGTCAAAGGTCAGCGACCTTTGACCTGACAAGTACAGTGCGACAGTAAGGACACACAACTGACTCGCTGCAGAGCAGTTGCCCGAGTCGTCACTGTATCGAACCGCAACAGCAACAGTAAAGTAGTTGCAACCGTATCTCTTCGTATTCCTTGTACTATTATATAATCTTGTATCTCTTTGCTTTAATCAACTTACTTTGCCCTCACATACTAGCGCAAGGTGGTTCACAACACTTTAATTAACGCTTCCGCTACTACACCAAGTCTACCCAGATTTCACCCCTGCAAAGATCCTAAGGGCTTTTCAGCCCAACTGTTTGTGTATGGCACTGGTAATGTTGCACCACAAATGACATACCAGTAGCTACCTTGTTGCGACACCAATATATTATTTACCTAGACCATATTTAAACAACAATCAAGGTAACAGGGTCACTGCTCTCCTTAAACAATTTGACAGTTGGTCCGTGAAGGATGTGTCTGGTTATGCACTGTCGGTGCTCATACTTGTGAGTAAACGTACGGTATTGGACAGCTCAACATTCCTTTGGTAGTAATGATTTATATGTTCTTTCAACACTGTATTGCAGCCTTGCAAATAAATGTGTCATTTTGTGCCCCCCGTGCGCCATACCACTTACCTCAGTTCATTGCCACGAACGTTGTTCTCTCCGACTTGCGACCCAATCGCCACCACTCACAACTAACTCCCGAGCATGCGTTCTTATCGCAGGTGTTCCATAACGGCTTCGTTTCAGACTGTCGCATCGCTGTACGAATTGCGCCAATGGTTCGTCCCCGTTTCTCCGAAGTGGCGATTTTACTATTGACGTGACGCCTGCGCCAAGCTTCGTGCGGCACGCGTGGAAGACTATGAAAATTAGCCACATAAAGTCTGTGCGGGCAGAATAGATATCTTTGGTGAGCCCTAATACACTAGCGCACGTTTAAGCACTAGCAACATTTTGTATCGCTCCCTGCCGCTAATGGACGGATAAACGCCCACTCCCACTGAATCATGCCCCATTGGAGCCGCAAATTTTTTATGGATGCACGTTAACCACCGTGTGATTGGTTGTTGGGGGAAACGAGGGACCTGGATGTCGCAAGGTGGAACAGAGCAGGAAACACTCAAACCCTCGTCACCTCCGTGCTCCTCTTGCGTGCCTGCTTGTGGGACGGTCATCTGCTCCAGGCCCCTGTCTGATCCTCGTCCATTCTATGCTCAACAATTTTTTAGTGCGCGAAGCGTAGCTGTCAGGTTGCAACGTCATAACTAACCCACACCTCAGACTACTGCGTGAATGGAAACCTAGACATTGCAATGGATAGTCAGACGATTAAGGGGCCCGATGGGGCGATCGTTTTGGCAGACTCGTCGAAATTGCCGGAGGAAAAAAATTATATGGAGTTAGTTACAGTAGATAAAACGGCCGAGATCGTTAACGAGTACCGCAAGTACAATGCGTCGTCGGCGCGTGATGACGTTGAGTCAGGACGGGACTCTTCATCTGGTGACGAATCAAATAGCGACGGCGATGTTGGGCCATACGCTAACAAGGGCGTGTCCTCCCCTCCAAAACCAAGGGAGAGGCGCGTGAGGCGCTTAGATGACATCGGTCCCAAAGCCGGCCAGAAAGGTACGTGTCTTTGGTACCATCTGCTGAAAGGTAGACCTGCATGATTAATTACCTCCGACCGATCCAGTAAGTGCGGTTTGCCGTCGTGTTTGACTTGTTCCCGTTACTGAAGCTCCAATTGTGCTCCCCCGTAACATTGTCAGAGGACAAGCGTGACAACCGAAAGGGGCATAAGCGCCGTCAACAAAAGAGAGGCACTACTTCACATGCTGCGTCTGAAGGCGACGAGGAGGTCGAGGACGGCGGACCCGTCAAAGAAGGTGCGTGTTTGTGTAATATCGCCGGTTTCTAAGTAGCACGTTACTCCCTGCATCGACTGATCATACTGATGCCACTTCGTGCAATTAAGGTTAGCGCGCACTGGACTGCTAATGTTCTTGTGATGTCCGCCCTCGCAGCTCCGTCAGCAGGCAGGCGTGCAGGACAACGCGGTAGATGTTATGACCGTAGCGGGAGGGCTGCGGAGTATCATGGCAGTCCATCTGACCGCCTAGGAATGTCTGCGCGTGGCGACGAGCAGGAACATGGTGAGCTTGAAGGGCGTGGTGGTGGAAAGCGCAACAACGCGAAGGTGGCGGCGGCGGCCAAGGGCAGTCCCTCGGGGAGGCTCTCGGAGGACGTGGCTGGTGGCGACGAGCAGGAACATGGCGAGCTTGAAGGGCGTAGTGGTGGAAAGCGAAACAACGCGAAGGCGGCGGCGGCAAAGGGCAGTCCCTCGGGGAGGCTCTCGAAGGAGGTGGCTGGTGGCGACGAGCAGGAACATGGCGAGCTTGAAGGGCGTGGTGGTGGAAAGCGCAACAACGAGAAGGTGGCGGCGGCGGCCAAGGGCAGTCCCTCGGGGAGGCTCTCGCTGGATGTGGCTGGTGGCGACGAGCAGGCGCTGCCCAGGCCCGTTATAGAAGGTTGGCGGTTCCTGGCTACTTCTGTCGTTGATTTTGAGGTTGCATAGCCTTCGCTGCCACCCTCCTTGTATATTGTTACCTGTTGCACCAGCAACTATGTCGTGAGTGACGTGACACCGAGATTGTCTCTCTCATATCCCTCTCGCTGCAGGGCTAGCAGAGCAGCGAGGTGGTGGCGGTATCGATCAGGATGAGGACAAGCCGGCAGCAGTGACTGCTGGGAAAGAACATGGACGTGAAGCTGTGATTTCGTACAAACGACGCAATGCTGTGGACTCGGCCGGTCGCGACCGAAATGCAAGACAAGCTCGACAAGGGACGAAACTGTATGTTTCGAGCTCGTCGGGTTCGGAGGAGGGATCCAGCGACAGTGAGTCAGGCAGCTCATCCGGGAATGAGGAAGTATACGAGGACGAGGAGGAGGAGGAAGAGGAAGAGGAGGATGAGGAGTTGGAGCCGGAGAGCGAGGATGAGGAGGAGGCTTGGCCTTTGAAGAGGAGGGGTGTGCGGAAGACCAAGAAGGGCAATGGAAAGCGAAAATCGGAGACAGGACGGGTGAAGAGCTATAAGCAGAGTGTGCGTCGTGCCAAACCACATGGCAAGCGCCAGAGACCTCGATTCGAAGCTAAAATTGTGGGTGTGCGTAGCAAGGAGAAGCGGGAGTTGGATTTTTACGAGTCCATGGGGCTACGATGTCCATCAAGCCCTCATGATCGGAAAGCCACCGACACGTATGCTGCGTTACGCGAGCAGATGGATTCGTCTGGGAAGGGAGATCCGATCGCTTGGGGGTCAGCGCGGTTTGGCAGGGAAGCGACGGACCCGCATGCAAAGCTTTCGGGGGGTCACGCGGTTCAGGTGAAAATCGAGGGAGCAACGAAGCGGCACGAACCCTCGGCCGCCGCAGCAGCCAATGACGGTGTGGGAGGAGGTGTGTGGGCGAATTCCTTGGGTGAATGTGGCGGCGGTGTGGAAGGCTCCATGTGGGATGTACGGGATAGCAGGGGAGAAGGAGGAGACTTGAAAATGGATCCGGCGACTAAGGAGGGGAGGGGCGAGAGCATGGGCACACCTGGCGCATCCAGTCCGCCCAATGTGGCTGGCGGCAACACGGTGGAGCAGCTCATGCGGGAGCTTGCCCAGCGGGATCGCGAAATTGCGGCACTCAAGGCAAGGCCAGGAGCCAAAGGACCTGTCAAACCCTGCACCCCTCCGTCTAGGCCTCCTCGTATTGCGTCTCTGTCGAGCGGCCCATCTGCAGTGGGCCTCGATCCAGGCGTGGCGCCAGAAAGCCCATCAACGGTAGACGTACCGGTCCGTCGAACGCGTGGGATGCCCAAGCCCAAGCTGCTGAAGGTGGGTATGTTTAAGTGTTAAGCAATGTGTGGCATGGGGCTCAGTGATAGCTGCAGCTCTCTCTCTCAACACCTCGTTTCCCCCACCTCTTTATGCTGGTCAGAGTGTTTGTACCATTATGCGCAGTGATAGCGGCCTGGCTGCGGTGTGATAGGCACTCCCAGTACGCCCCGCTTTAGGGACGCTGGCGCTGGGCGTACGATACTCTCACACTCTGCCCCACCTCTCCGAGCTCACCATAACTGTTCTATTTCCTCCCCCCCCCCCCTCTCTCCCGTCACTCCACCTCCTCTTCCAGAGCCCCTGTTCATGGCGCTGCTTGTCTGGTATGGGTGGCATGCGGCGCAGAGATAGCAGCAGCCCTCTCTGTCATCCCTACGCGCCCAATCCCTTCTTTCCGCTTGCTCCCCCCCCCCCCCCCCCCCCCCCCCTCTCTATCCCACCCCTCTCCCTCCTCTTCTAGAGCCCCTCTAAACGGTGCTGCTGGTCTGGTGTGGGTGGCATGCGGCGCAGAGATAGCAGCAGCCCTCTCTGTCATCCCCACATGCCCAATCCCTTCTTTCCGCTTGCTCCTCCCCCCCCTCTCTATCCCACCCCTCTCCCTCCTCTTCCAGAGCCCCTCTAAACGGTGCTGCTGGTCTGGTGTGGGTGGCATGCGGCGCAGAGATTGCAGCAGCACTCTCTGTCATCCCCACGTGCCCAATCCCTTCTTTCCGCTTGCTCCTCCCCCCCTCTCTATCCCACCCCTCTCCCTCCTCTTCCAGAGCCCCTCTAAACGGTGCTGCTGGTCTGGTGTGGGTGGCATGCGGCGCAGAGATAGCAGCAGCCCTCTCTGTCATCCCCACGTGCCCAATCCCTTCTTTTCGCTTGCTCCTCCCCCCCCCCCTCTCTATCCCACCCCTCTCCCTTCTCTTCCAGAGCCCCTCTAAACGGTGCTTCTGGTCGCGTGTGTGGCATGCGGCGCAGCGTGTAGCGGGCCGGGCTGCAGCGGGGGTTGTGACTCTTAGTACGAGGAGAACATGACCCCTTACGCAGTCCGTACGGTGCTCTCACACTCTGCTCCCTCTCCCATATGATTTCACTCAGACTAGTTCATCCCCTCTCTCCCCCCTCTATCTCCCTGCTCTCCCCTACCTCAACCAGAGCCCCTGTTCATGGTGCTGGTGGTGGTGTGGGTGGCCTGCGGCACGTGTTACCCAAATCCCACTCTCTCGACCTCTGGTTTCCGCCCTTCTTTGGGAGTCACCCACATATCCTTTTTTCCTATCCATCCGGCTGTCGTAGGTTCATTTCGCATAGGGGCGGGACCGGATGTGCCTCGAGGCGCCAGACCATGCCATAGACTTCTACCCAACGCTCGAACAGCGCGTGCAGGTGTTGTATGAGGTTATCAGCGAGACGCACATCATCAACATGATGCAGCTGCGAGAGGCTATGGAAGACAAAAACATCATAGGCGCTTTTAAACGCGCCTGGACGTCATGGAAGAACGAACGTGGCTTCCACCTCAAGCGCAGAATGCTCGTCACTTTCGGCAACAAGGTGGAAGGCCTGCGTGCAGCCGAACTGTGGATGGGCACCAAGAAGAAGCGGAAGATGTGGAAAAAATACCAACCGAGTGAGTACTTGCGTGACTGTTTTCCATCCCCTATTGACATGTCTGCTCATGCACCCCTCGTGCATGCCCCACGTTGATGAAGCACGTACCCCCAATGCATCCCCACTTTGGCACGCGACTACATACCTGCTCTCCTCGCCCAAGCTTGTAGCGCATGTGCAAACACATCCGCATGACAGCCATCCGTTGGTTCTTCTCCCACACTCCCCTTCTCCCGCCCCCCGTTTAACTCCTGCCCTCCTCTTCTCTCCCACCACCCCCTTCTCTCCCGCCCTCCCTTCCTCTACCGCCCTCCCCTTCTCTCCCGCCCTCCCCTTCTCTCCCGCCCTCCCCCTATCTCCCGCCCACCCCTACTCTCCCGCCCTCTCGCCATTCATTCCCCCCCGCCCTCGATGTTCATCCATACCCTTTGGACAACCCTAAACCATGAGTCATGCATGATCACGGATGTCTCATGCTTCCCCGCATTCTCATACATGCGCGCAGGAGGGAAACAACGGGTCAGCTCGTGGGGAAACAACAGAGACGGGCTCCCGTTTGCCAACGGCCGGTTTGTAGATGCGGTCCGGGAAGCATTTCGGAATTTCTGTGTCGGGCGCCGGGTGTGCGTCAAAGCATACCGCATTGCCTGGTCAATCATGGTGGTACGCAATTATTGCTCAACCCATGGTATGCTCTAGCTTGGCATGCTGTTTTATAGTCCCTCGGCATGGTATGTGGGGCATTTAGCGCAGCCTCTAAACTCTGCACGCGAGTGTCCACTGAAGTTGGTGTTTTTCCTCCATCCCATACTGTGCTATGCCTTTTCAGATTGACCAGGGCCTATCAAAGGTTAAGAGGACTGACTGGAACGTCTCCAACTCCCACCGGAAGAACAGTGAATGGATGGGGGGTTTGCACCGTAATGTGCGGTGGATTATCAAGGACCACTTTACACGCCACACCCCCGTGTACAACACAGACGTGAAGGGCTTCAAGTGGGGCGACCATGGGCTATATGTTCACGAGTCAGGATTTGAGGCCTTCCGGGGGAAGGCTGAGCTTGATGCCGAAACGAAGGACCTGAAGGAGGAAGAAAAGGAGGTGTACGGCTCGGAGGACATGGAGGAGGATAAGGAAGAGGAGGATGAGGAGGAGGAGGAGGAGGAGGAGGAGGAGGAGGATGACGAGGAGGAGGAGGAGGAGGAGGAGGAGGAGGAGGACGAGGAACAGTGGGGGCAGGAGCAGAGGAAGAGGAAAAGGCACAAGAGACCTAGGGCAGGCGGGAGGGATGAGGAAGAGGATGAGAAACGGGGGGGGCAAGAGCTTAGGAAGGGCAGAAGGCACAAGGGAGGGAAAACCAGGGGAGGCAGGAGGGAAGCGGACGAGGAAGAGGAGAAGGAAGAGGAGCTGGGGGATAAGAAACAGGGGGGGCAGGAGCGGAGGAAGGGCAGGAAGCACAAGAGAGGCAGAGGGCAGGGAAGCAGGAGGGAAGAGGAAGTGGAGGAAGATGAGGAAGAGGAGGAGCAGGAGGATGAGAAACAGGGGGGGCAGTCGCGGAGGAAGGGTAGAAAGCACAAGAGAGGCAGAGGCAAGGGAGGTTGGAGGGAAGTGGAAGAGGAGGAAGAGGAGGAAGAGGAGAAAGAGGAGGAAGAGGATGAGGATGAGGATGAGAAGCAGGGGGGCCAGGAGCGGAGGAAGGGCAAAAGGCACGAAAATGGCAAAAGAAGGGGAGGCAAGAGGGCCAAATGATGGTGTGACGAGACAAGGGGGGCTGCAGATGACGCATGCGTGGAGTTTACAAAAGGGGACAGCAGGAGAGGCATCACATACGTGCGAGGAGAGGCATTGGTGGAGACAGCAAGGGGGGCATCAGGGAAGGCACGTGTGGATAGAGAAAGGGGGACAGCATTACGGAGGGGAGTGGTGCAAGGGCCGCAGCAGTATAGGCATGACTGGATAGGACAAAGCAAACAGCAGTAAAGGCTTGACTGGAGGATGTCTAAGGCGGAGCAGCAGACGCATGACAGGGCTGGACATGCGAGGAAGCAGTGGACGCACGGGCAGGGCAATAGTACTACAATTAGTGAAGGAGGGATGGGAGATGCAGGAAGAGAGGCAGGAAGTGGGGTCGCAGCCAAGGCATGGATCATGGGGGCTAGGTGTAGGGGCGAGCATGCTCGGCCTAGAGCACGAGACATGGGGTGTAGTGGGAGGCATAGTGTACGGGAGCATGAGAAGCAGGTTGATGCAGATCACCCTAAGAGGCGGGGGTCTTTGACTATAGAGGGTGGGGTGTAGGATGCTCTTGTATGTGCCTTTTTTGTTGAGAATAAAACCCATTTACCAACGCTTCAGTAATGGTCATTTTGGATGCTTGGATGAGGCAACTAAACATCTTGTTAAACAACATGTTAACCATTGCAAGTCTCCAATCCAACTTCATTATAACTAAACCGGATGTCCTTGAAGAGTACAATGCAATGAGATCCAATCTCCGAAATTGCTCTGCGGAAACTCCAACCAAACTTCTGCCGAAGGTTTTCACCTGAGAGGTTTGAACACACAAGCATCGCAGAAGCATGCGAACAGCGTTCGACAAAGCATCCAGAAGAAGGTATATACTTTCTCAAAATATCGTACCAAACAAGACGTTTATAAATCATACAACAAAGCTTTAAAGCAACTCTTTCCAAAGGTTTTCTGGACGCAGGATTTTTGTGATGATGACTACGTCCCAACACACTTTTAGGTTTAGGTTTAGATGTTAAATTCTGTTTTCTTTTCCAGGTCCACACGGATCAAACCAGCAGAGTGGCAGCTTTCTGCAGATTAGTGGGCAACCCTAGCTTGTCTCCTTGCTGCAGACCTCTGGCACCCTTAGTGTGAAACGACCTATAACAGGCTGGCCCCTAGATCAGGAACTTGGCTCAACTGAGTGCCAGCCCGGCCCTGCCCGCCGTGTGTGTGCTCATTCTCAAAACAGGCTGACTTATCAGCAACAACACAAGCCACCTTATTCATGAACCTGTGCAACATCATGTTGGCACTCGTTCTTGATTATTTGATGATACTCACAATATAACAAGGTTGCTCATGTTGCCAATGGTGGGTGGAATGTATCCACTCAAAGTGTTATTATCGGCATTCCTGATGGTATAACATGCAAATGATATCACGGGTGGAAACAGATACTGAATACAACAAGAAGGTACATGCAATGCGAAGGGTGCCATGAATCTAGGCTTGAGCATACGACCCCGTCATGTGGTCCTCATCTCGCTTATGGCCAAACAGGGCCTTCGTGTATGTCGCGCACTGTTTCGACCGTGCATAGTGCGCATGATCGCGTAAGTGATCGTGCTGTCGTGCACGACCCAGAACAAATAAAATGGTGCTCGGGAGTTCAGTTGAATAACAAAATACCGAGCTGACTTTGAGAACGCAATTTTTTTCTGAATAGTCATACACCTAGGCATGCCCGGCCACGATTTCGGGTCAGGTCAAAGCCTGGCCAATCGGGTATACCCGGCCGGGTGAAATTCGGAATTGGGTCGGGTTGGGTCGGGTTTCGACCCACTTTTGACCCGACTTGATATCGGGTCAAAACCAGGGGCAACTGGGTCGGGTTGGCCAAGCCCGATTTCGACAGTTGGGAAACCAGAAAAATCTCTCGTAAATCTGGAGCCCTAGCTAATGAGGCATATACTAGTGGGGTATGTGCTATGGGCCGCTAGGGTTGGGCTGAGCTGAGCTCAATGTCGAAAGATCTGTAAAGGGTGTGTGTTGGGAGTTGGTCTTGTAGATTCATTGCGGTGATGAGTAATTAGAGGCAAAATCAGTGGTGAATTGGTTGGGGTGTTTGATTCAGAATTTTTTTGGGGACGAAGGAGTCTCTAGGATGAGTAAATTATAGGCAAAAGCTCGTTTTTTGCAAATCAGCCAGATAAATCGCCGAGCTGCACAAATCGGCCGGATAAATAAACCATTTGGCGATGTAATGCTGGCTCTCTGTCTTATTCCCTTAATGATACTCACAGTGTCTCGAGGTTGCTCAGGCTACTGATGGTGGATGGAATAGACCCACTCAGATCATTTATGTAAAGATACCTGGTGGTACGACATGCAAATTGTGTCATGAGTGAGAAGTATTGAATACAGCAATAAATCCGTACAATTATTCATGGACACATTGTTTGGGTTGCATATGTGGATAGTAACGGATACGGTGAAACCATTGCTACCGATCACATACAAAGGGTGCTTTAGAACTGATACAACAGAAAAAAAAAATGAAGCTGGTAGGAGAGGGACGTGTGATATCACGTAAGGAGAATGACTGAAGAGAACAGACATGCAAAATTTATATTGTGATATGTGATACCAATTTGGAAAGGTGCCTGATTGTGAGAACAACACAAAATCTGTAGACTTTAATGCTGACATGATAACAAAATGCTGCAAGTAACAGCCATTACAAAATTAAAGCAAATTAAAACAGCAGGCGCTACTCTGAGTATTACACGAGCATGCAAACATGTACACATGCAGAAGCAACACATCCGGTCATAGAGTGCAGGATGTTAGTGGCGGTGGATGGAAATGCATAGCAAGGTATGACCAATGAGCTGAAACAGCAATGCATGCAAAGTGTCTAGCATGGAGTAGTAGTAGTCCATACTTTAATGACTTTGCTGCGCTTGAACAGTTTTATTTTGAGAAGAAAAGTAGCAAGCCAGCAGCTTTAGCAAGAAGAGTTTCAGTTTGATGAAATAAAGAGCTCGGGGCTAAAGTCTTGACGATTTATTTTGGTGGTGATGGATTTAATGGCAGCTAAATCTCATGGCCCTGGGTCTTTATCCTTCGCTGCTGTCATGATTTCAGAAAACCTTACTTTTTTCTCCTACCCATGTATGGAAGTTTCTGAATCTCCCTTGCCCACGTCTCTTCTCTCTTGAACATTGCAAGACCTTATCGTGAGGCTAATATAAAGAGATCTGTGGCAGACCCTGGCACCCAGAAGTAGATGGCAAGGCTTCTTGCAGGGGTTTAGGTATACCATTAGCGATTGCATCTGCCTTTCTCACGTACTGGTGCCTGAATAGCTACCCATGGCTGTCCAGGATGCTGCCTTGGTTGTGTATGCCCTGGATGTGGAGTCTAGGATGCTGCCCTGCATGTGCTACACACCACCTTGAGGCCTGACTCAAGTATGCAGGATAACTTTAGGGGACTTCCAAAAAGAGAAAGAACAATTTAGGAACATAGTGACGCAAGTTTTTAGAAGGAAAACATGTGCTTCTCATCCTTGCAAGGCCAAACCAGTTCATCAAGGGTCAAACGGTGTCCTGATTTTTCACAGGCCAGCCTGCACTTGCAACAAACTACTAGAAGCGGCCTGGTCTGTTGCACGGTATATGTCTGGCAAACTAGGCTGCTTCAAACCCATGGCCAGTTCCCATCACTGCCTGACAAGGGCACATGACACCCGAGCATGCTCAATACATATGATCATGCAACTTCTCAAATTGGGAGCTCAATATTGAGCTCAGTGACAAGTATAGGTCCGAGCCGATAAATAAGTGAAGCTAAGCCAGCAATCCTGCTCTGCTGGCTGGCCCCGAGTTATTGAGCTGCCTGACAAGCCGAGAATCAACTTGTCGGCTCGTTAAGCTTATTCTTTGACCAACCAGCCATGACAAATCAGCCCAGAATCGAGCTGGTTTGCACTGGCCAAATAGATGCTCGCTGGACCAAGTTGATTGCTATGTTATGTCAAATCCTGTTGGTGCCTGACAGGGAACCATGACATCCGAGTCCGGTGGGACACATATGACCCTTGCATTAACAAAGTTGAAGCTTATTCGTTCAATCTGACAATCAAGTAAAGAGAAGCCGGTGCTCCGAGCGTCAAGACCCGGCTTATTGGCTTGTTGGCTCGTTGAACTTGGGTCGGCAACCCTAAACCTAATTCCCCAATCTACAAAAATATCCATGTGCGCCTCTGATACCCTGAATGCATTCCATCTTCACAGCAATAGCTCGTTTCTACCAAAATAAGAAACTCAAAATGCCGGATCTGTGCTTATCCATTAGTTAGATGCAAGATCCTCCCAAATTCAGCAGTGCGACACCACAACCGTGCGGGGTTTGGCACACAGGGATAAGGCTCACCTGCTTATGTCGGTGAAACCCTATATATATAGAGGATAACCCTAAACCCGAAACCCTATATATATAGAGGACGTTTCTGATGGTGGCAAATGCTGACCGGGACAATGTTGGACCACTCGTCATGTTGCAGACCAATCTCAGCCCAGTTCAAAAGAACGGGCCATGGTTATCAAAGCAAGAAGGCATAAACCAATCTTACCTAGCTTAAAGCCTCCCGATACTGTCCCGGTAGTCATGCCCGGCCATGGAGGCATAAACCAAACTTGCCTAGGTTCAGCTCTTGCGCTCGCTAAATCTGAAAGCCGATGTGGTTCTCCCATACTTCTTACCAAATGTAGAACATGTACGGTTTGAGAAACCACATTCTGACCATGATTGTGCAGGAACAAGCATAGGGTCAGGCAAGAGCCAGCCCGGGTGTATACATGGTGAATGAGCCGAGTTTTTCGCCTCGGCTCGTACGAGGCACTCGTTTGAGGGCGAGTGACGAGTGTCATTTTCCGGGAAAATAACTCGTCCGAGCCGAGGCGAGTTTTGCTTGGCGAGTTTTCAAAAATCGCCGAGCACTCGTTGCACCA